CACACACACACACACACACACACACACACACACACACACACACACACACACACACAAAACAACAACAACAACAACAACAACAACAACAACAACAACAACAAAACAACGGGGGGATTGACCCCGGGAAGGAATGGAGTGGAGACGGTGGCAGTCTGTGAGGGAGGAAAAGGCGAACAAGGACAATATCGTCCATTTCAGCTTGCGCACAGGCTGCGAGATCCGAACTGGCATCCAAAGGAATGGGAATGGTCACCGCAGGGAATGCACAATAAGGCCACACCGCTGCAGGAAGTAACCACTAAGAACATCTATAATTCGCTGATGGAGCCAATCAACATCTGTGAGGAGCTAAAGAACAGGTGGGCTAAGAGGGACTGGCTTCCTGATGCCTACCTGGGGCGGTGGACCCAGCGAAGGTGGAATGTGCAGTGTGCCATCTTAACAGCTCTGCCGGACCAGAAGCAGGCAGGATTACTGTGGCAAATTTATCACTTGGCAATCCCGACAGCACAATGGATAGCTACTAAGAGCCAACACCGGGATCAGCTATGCGCAGCAGGGTGCGGGCAAGTGGAGACGATCCCTCATTTATTCGTACGATGCCCGCAGCTTCAGGCTTTTTGGTCATGGTGGGGCAAGGAAATCGCAGATGGGATGCCGTTGGAAGTCACTGAGGAGGATGACGCAGCCATCCTTCTGGGAGCGCTAATGAAAGTTGGCAGGCCACTCTTTGGGGACCTGCTGTCTGCGGAAATGGTGCGAGCAGCAGTGTTGTGGGCTGTATGGACACTGCGAAACGACCGCTGTAGACAGTGAGTGAAGCCCCCACCGCAGGCATATCAGGAAAGGGCGATGGAGAACCTAAGGATTGCATTGCAGGCAGACTATCGACGGTGTAGATATGGGGGCTGTGTGAAGGAGGAAGAATTTTGGAAAAGATGGGAGCGGTACCCGCTCTTAGTGACTAGGGATCCCGACACAGGCCGGTTCCACTTCGGACCGGCTCTACTGCGGCATGTGCCTCAGCTGGAAAAGGACCTAGAGTAGGACGACCTTGTGCTTTCTCACGTTCCAGGGGTGGAAATGATAGATGTAGAACTGTTGTACAATAGTTAGAATGGTTTCTGTAGGTAGTAGGGTAGAAGAGCTAGGAAGGAGGGAGGGAATAGCTAGGGGTAGTTTAGGGGTAGTTTAGGGGTAGTTTAGGGGTAGTTTAGGTTTGAGGGGGAGTACTTCAGGAAAAACAGGCTAAAAAGGCTGTTGGGAAAAGCAAAAGGAAAAAAGAAAAAGAGAGAGAACAAAAAAGGATGAAACTTGAGAAACAAGCTGGGGACATATTGGTCTTATGCAGGATATTAGGACAACAAAGAGGGGATATGACAGGTGGGATATCGAGAGGATGTGATAAGGGCTGTAAGGGCTGTATGGTGCGATAGTTAGATAATGGGTAAAGAGCTGAAAGAGGAATAGAACCTTTGATGACAAAACTAAGTAAGAGGTGAAGGTTAGGACTCGCAAGTCTCTTGGGTTGAAGCAGCGGAATGCGGCCTGTGAGACTGCTAGAGCGACCTCCCCCGCGCCACGCCTCTCCTAGAGCCCTTCTGCTGAGCGACTGGGTGCTGCCAGTAAGCTTCCCGGCCAGCAGAAGCCCACCAGGAAAGCAACGGCTCGGGGGGGGGTCGGCTCGAAGCAGTCCCCCCCTTGATAGGCGGCTCGTACCGCAAGGGATGGGATGGCTCTTTCTCTACACTGTTTTTTTGGTCCCCTGTTCTTTGTACTCATGCTTGCCGGTGATAAGCAACCGGACTGATGCCCCCCAGAATAGAAGGGGCTTGGGGTTTTGGGGGAAAAAAAAAAAAAAAAAAAAACCAGTGTAGTACTGTATATTTCCATGTTCTAGCGGTAGATTCATTCGATTTTGCTCATCCTATCGATGGAAGGACCATGAGGCCTCCACGAGGTTGGAGACTTACCTGCTCTCTCTCTCTCTCTCTCTCTCTCTCACACACACACACACACACACACACATAAAAAAAAAAAGTGTATATTGCCATGTTCCGGCTGAAGATTCATTCCGATTTCGCTCATCCTACACACACACACACACACTGCTGACGTGGCACTGCTGTCGTGGCACTATGTCTGACGTGGCAATGTGAGCTGGCACTGCTGATGTGGCACTGCTGATGTGGCACTGCTGACGCGGCACTGTGACTTGGCACTGTGACGTGGCACTGCTGACGTGGCACTGCTGATCTGGCACTGCTGACGTGGCACTGTACCGAAACGGGATGCATGCAAGGGGTGGGTGGG